ACAATAAACAAAGATATAGGGATGGTGTCATGTAGTTTGTGCAACTTTGCTGTGTAATGACCCCTTGTTTCTTCCTTTTGGTGCTTCAAGCCATCCCTATATCCCCCTTTCATTTTGAAGAAATGATTTTTCCACTTGTATAAAATAAACCTCTAACCCTCTCTGCGCATGCACAGCGAGGGTACAGTAGTTGGGTCTGTCTGTTTGTCTGTTACTCTCTATCTCACTCCTCGAAACGTCTGTTCGTCTCACAAACGATACGACCTACTTAACAGGTAACGAAGGTCAGAAAGTTCGAACAGTTTTCTCTGAAAATGCTGCGTTCGAGAGCTACGGCGTGAAACACGAGCGAAAAAGCCAATATGCAAATACAGCACGGACGGGATTGCTTACCTCGGTCTTATTGGCTTGCTCTGCGTACCTCGGAAGCACCAGAAGTTACAACGCAAGGCGTGTATCACCTTCGCATGCTATCAAATAGTGTAGCTGGCTCCTGTTTCAATCTCTGTGAGCGGGCAAGAGACCACAAATAACCCAGCCCATCATTAGTGTTCTGCGCATGCGTTTACCTGTGCGTATATTTATAGGTTATAAGGTTTGCACTTCAGGTGCTGCATATTTTTTTGCAGATGAAATACGTAATGGCGGATGTCGTCAAGCACAACAATTACAAGAGCTTTCTCATTACATTCTATCTCCAAAAAACCCATAGCCTGGACGGCAAAGGAATGGCGAAAACTGTTGACATTCTACAAAAATTCCTGAGTGCACCAGCCAACCCATGAATGATCCAAAGCCGTCACCACCTGATTGCATAATTGACACACTACATATGGAACTTCCCAAGTTGTTGCACGAAATAATTTTTAACATGTTCTTTACAAAGGTGTATTGCCATAGCTATAAATAAAATTACTGTGAGTGATTGGTAGTATTACAGGTGATTGGTGAGTGAGTATTTCAGCTTCATCACCTGCATAGATATACACCTCCGTTGCATTATTGTGTGCCCCCACACAATTATATGCTGAGCACATGGTTTAAAAACTCAGGATCAACAAGGTCTGCTTAAATGCTGGGCAGATATATATCTGGATCAATGCAGATGGTATCCAAACAAAATATACATGGCGTGCAAGAATGCAGATTACACTTATATAAGATGGCGTTTCATTTCAGTTGCATTAGCCGCGAAATAAAAGGTCTAATTGCCAACATTATTAGCGCGCTCCACAAGCAGCAAAGCTCGGAAAAATATGTGCCAGTGAGTTTTAAGCTGACTTAAGAGATGAATGAGCAGGTAGAGCATTACAAGGATCTTAAAACCTGCAATCGTATTGGAGCTGCACATATCGTGCCTGAGTGTCAAGAAAATCGACTAAAGTTTCCAGACCGCCTTTTCCGTGTGTGGGCGTGGTGGGCTGGGCAAGAAAAGGCAGAGGAGGTCCGTGAAAAATAATCTGAACAAAAAGTATAGTCGTCTTTGTGGGTGCTAATATTTGACAAACACCTTAAAAATTTGTGTATACACCACATCTAAGATGCTGGGTTGTCATTCCTGCTTTAAAATTTGCCAAATTCATGCACAGGTCACCCCTTGACTACAACCAGTTGTTTAAGTTTATTAAGCGAAATAAACAGAAAAAAGGACTGTGGTTAGAGAGCAGGGAGATGTTGCAGGTGTCAATAGTAGGTGTTGATTGGAAAGGACAATGGTAATGGGTAAGCTGAGAACTCACTGTGACATAATGTTATCCTAACTCCCTCCCCTGTTCCACTTAACTCCTTCAACCCACTGCACAACAATCTGTAAAAAGTGGGCAGGCTCAATAAAGATGACAACACACATAGTATTGTCCACCAAGTGTAAGCTACTTCACTCACTAACAGCTATTGCAGATCAGGGCTGCAAGTATTGCATACAGCTGGTCGCCGCACAACCCCCTACAAGGTCTGCTTAAATGCTGGGCAGATATATGCATGTATCTGGATCAATGCAGATGGTATCCAAACAAAATATACATGGCGTGCAAGAATGCAGACCTGTCGTGACCCACGGAAGTGGCTGCATGTCTATTTTAGAACAGTGTTTTGTGTACATACATACTGTGTATACTTGCCTTACTGCACAGTTGTCTGGAGTGTGTGTGTTCCAAATATGTGTCCCAGACATTGTTGGGGTCCCCATTGGCGTCTCTCTCTTCATTAACCCTCGGCACGCATGCGCAGCGAAGGCAGTACTTGGTTTGTCATTCTGTCTGTCCGTCCGTCCGTCTGTCTGTTACCTCGTTTTCTCCCGCTACGCGCAACAAGACAGCCAAAAAGTGATACCAAATTGGACCAGCCCACCAATTAACAGACATCAGAATGTGCACAGGGTGAGCAAGGATCTACCATTGCTAACCTACTGATGTAGCCAGCCCATGATGACAGGTGGCAGCTTTAAGTATGTAAGTGTACTTAAGCATGTGTATAGAAATTAATCAGCCCACTGCGTCAAGGGTTAGCACTTCAGTGCCTTTCATTTTACAGTAGCAAGCATGGCAGAATTCTGGCGGGTGAATCGCAGGATCATCTCTCTCAGCCAAGACACCGTAGACAGCCAGAAGATCTGATGTGTGTGCTCTAACACTGTACTTGCTCTCCCTACTACGGCAGTGCTTCCCACACATAAGACAGTGTTTGGGAAGTTGAGTGTAATGGAACTCATGCCCTTCAGAATCCGTCATGCTCCTGTAATTTATGTACATTTTTTGGATTGATGTTTCTTTCTCCAAAAAATGCGAAGCTGGTTCTAGTCAGCACTAACTTACGTGTGGATTCCTCAGCTGTGGTTCACTACACTGGGTTTCCAAGGGAAAATTCCCTATCACGGGCAGAGTGAGTAAAAACAAAGGACCTTCCCTTGCAGTACCGCGAGGTTTGTGCGTGCGCACCTGCGGTAACAGTGTCGGGGCGCTGCGCCGTTCTGTGTTATGGTTTCTAGAGAGACCACTCTGGCTATCTGAGAATGTGTGGAATGTAACAAAGGAAGCTTTGCGGCCCAACGAAGGCCCCAAGCTTCCTTCCCGAAACCGCGACTAACTTCCGAATCTTGCGCGAGCCCCGTAACTAAGGTAACGGTAATACCGTAATGTTCTAAATTAGCGCTAAATGTCCTACGTGAAACAGCCGTGCGGCAGGCCGGCCCGACAGGCCAGGCAAGCTGGATCTATTGCGCATGCGCGTGTGGCGTCAAGACCGCCGCTCTGCGCGAATCCACGCGTCAATCGCGATCGATCGCGCACGAAATGTGCGCGGTCACTCCCACACCTTATAAAATTTTTCACGCTTGACCGGTAAAAATTTCTTATTACGTGACGTCACGTATGCGCCATACTACGCAAAATTTACGCGTATAACGGTTTACGTCTCTCAACGTCATCAACAAAATATATCGTCAGAATCGCCTTTTGAAGAGCTGTGCATAGCCCCTTCTTAATTTTCCGCTGCACATACACTACTGAAGTTATAATTTTTCATAAAGTTTGGACAATTATGCCCTGGTGCACTACCTCCTATACCTCCTCCTATTACCACATCAACTGGAGCTGCTCGAGTTGTCTTTGAGGGAAGAGTGAATCAAAATCTTCCACCCAGTCGCAAAGGAGTTGTTGGGTATACTACTGACTAGACTAGTGTGCCCAATGGCATGAGAACTCTTTGTGAAACGGATACTACAATGTGATTCTCGGTTTCCCGCTTTCAAAAAGCGGACCCTGCTTGCGCGCGCCTCCGCATGCGCATGCTCACGTACGACTTCCGGCCTTCCTCAACGTTCTATTAAGCGGAGGAGGAGCTACGTACGTTGCAGCGCTCGGTAGAGGAGGGCCAGAAAATGGGATGGTCGCTGTCGCTTTCCTTCTTTGCTCTCGTGTATTTCATTCTCTGCTCTGTGTACCTACTGCTAGGTGTGAGCAGACGCAGTCAGTGGCAGAAAGCCTCGTTGAAATGTCTGCCTATTGGGTCCCTTCTCCTACTAGCTGTCTGGACAAGTCAGCTAGAACACCAACCCAGCAGAGGAGATACTACCAGTGAGCAGCACGTGACGGAGGGAAGGGGAGAAACAATCCGACTTTTACTCCTGGGGTTGGGTTTATCCATCGCTGGTGATGCACTTCTTGTGTTTCGTGGAACTCTCGGTCTCCTCGGTGTACTGTCTTTTTCAGTTGCTCAGTGTGTGTACATTGCACTGTTTGGTCTCACATTGGAGCGAGTGGCGGAGCAGTCTTTTCTGGGGCTCTTGTCTGGACTTGGAGTCTTTTCCCTCTCTCTCTTGATTCTCCTGGTGTTCAGTTGGAGGTTCAGTACTGTGTTGAAGAGCGGCGAGCATGGAATGAGGCGGAGGTTTATCGGTCTCGTGATGCCAATTGCACTGGCGTACTTTGTCCTGATCTCTCTTATGTTGTGGTCGTCAATACTACAGCTGCAGCAGGCTTTCAATCTTCTCAATGTTCTTGGGGCCGTTGGGGGTCTCTTGTTTTACGTGTCCGACATCCTGATAGCTGCTGGAGCCATATGGCAACTGAGAGTTCTACTGCATGGCAGGATACTGGTCATGACCACTTATTTTGGTGCTCAGTTACTCATCACCATCTCTGTAGTAGCAACATAAGTGTTTATAGTAAGAAATAATTGACTCGAGTACTGTGAAAGTTTTTTGGATATTTGTAAACTTGAAGCCTAAGGGGTGGCCTACATTTTCCTGAAGATCAGTTGATTACTCAGTTGGTTTCTTCTTCCCCACATTTATCTCTCTCAAATATGCATAATTTTACTGTGTAATTTCTATTGTTAATAAGTAGCTATTAGCTGAATTCTCACAACTAACACAATTCACGTAAACAGAACTCACTTTCGTATGATTTGGTACATTTCCTCAATTAATGTTAGTGGGGGCTACTCAAAATAATTATGAAATCATTATTTATGCTTGCTTCAGGGAAGTATGAGAAAAAGTAGCTAAATCGTAGTATTTCTAGTGCATGACTTGGCAAACACTGTAAGTTTTGTTTTTCACTCATTATATATATACAAGTTACGAGTTAAAGGTATGTGTTTACAAACAATTATGGTTCTGTTCACGTGTATGTAATTATGACAACCGCTGTTTGCTAGTTTTTTGGGCACTCTATATGGGAATTGGTTCATAGTCAGATTCCTGCTGCATTCCAGGAGGTAACCGAGCAATAGGCTGTTGCATCCTTGCTCTATTCACACCGTATGCAGGATTCCTTTCAATTCTCCTGCTAGCAGCATAAGCTGGGTTATCTTCCATTCTCCTTCCAGTCATACCATAGGCAGGGTTGTTTTCTATTCTCCCTCTTATCATTGCATAGGCTGGATTGTTTTCTAGTTGCGTTCCAGCAACAGCATAGACTACATTATCATCAGTATCACCTCCAGTCTTAGTGGCAGCATAATACCTGTTACTTTTTTGTGAAAGACTGTAGCTAATATAAAAAGAAAAACTTACCTTAAAGAAAGGCAAAAAATTAAGATTCCAATTGTGGCAATAACGAAGACCACTGAAGCACCGATAATAATGAATACCACATATTCACGAGATGGATGTTGACCTTTGCAGAGATAAACAAGTATAGAGTACATTAATAGAGCTGCTGCCCGTGACCTACCTGACAGTGTTTTTATGAAAACCGGATCACTAAATACACCAGTAATCCCTTCATTATTGACTGCAGCTACTGCAATTGAGTAGTTGGTGGAGGGAGTGAGTCCAATCAGTTCAGTCTCTGCTCCTGAGCTCCAGTTTCCAGCCACCTCTTTACTCTTTACTAGTCTATCAGACTCGGCCCTGTACTGCACTCTGTACTTTATAATGACACCATTGACAAGTCTACATGGAGCGATGCCACTCCATTTGACTAAAATGACTGAGGAATATTGTGCTCTGCCTGTTATGTTATGAGGAACAGACAGGCTCCCTGCACAGAAAAGAGTACTGAATATGTGTAATACAACTGTGCTTGACATACGCAACTGCTGTGTAGTAAATTTGATAGATGTACTCCGGGAAACCATGTCATCTGTATCACAGAATGCTTCCACAGTAATTAAATAGGTAGTGTAGGCTCTGAGAATAGATGACTCATCTGTTTCCACATCCTCCTCCACAGCAATAGTAGCAGTATAAGCATCAACTGTCAAACTAGCAGAATGTGAATCATCTCTGCACAGTCCCTCCTGGTCATCTCCCACTGCTGCACTGAATGAGACTTTGTAGTAGTCAGCACCCTCCACTGGCTGCCAGGACACTCTGACTGAGCTTCTCTCTGAGTCATCAACCACCACACCTTCAAGAAAAAGTAATTATGTGCTGTACATAGCAGGATCTGACATTTATAATTAACACGCTTCATGTATTCACCTCCGTTGTTCATCTCACACTCATTGACTGTGGATCAATCAAAGATTCAAATATTAATACCAAGTCTGTAATATTACAGACGGCGCCACTTGCTCTACTATGGTAAAGTGGGCTAAACCGTTACTTATTACTCTATATTATTGGATGCATAATCTGAGCCCCAAGGAGTTTTTTTAATATCTGATAGTCCTCAATGAAAATTATTGCAGTCA